TAGTGATAAGCAAACTAGACAGTGCGTTACTGGTCTCCAATTCTGCAACTGGGTGGACAGGAACAACTGTGGTACCTGGCTTGTACCTCACTTAATGGTAAACAGCAATACCTGTCATAACCTGTTATAAGTTCGATAGTTTACCAATTTCACTATAAAACACCCATCATAGAAGGAATGAGATCAACAAGCCCCAATACTTCTATTTAATCTAGTAAGAGTAAGAGCCTGACCAAGGATTCTGTAAAATTTTGAATCTGCTGTGATTAGGATTCTATTAAAAATCTAAAGCCTGGTCTTGTAAAATCTAAATGAAGTCCTGTTATTGTTTAGTTAAATTAGAATTAGATTTTTAGTTCAGGAAGTTTATATATATCTTGTTATGAAACTGTTCAAATTTCTTTAATTAGCAAACAAAAAACAAAAAAAAAGATCATGGTTGCAATCTGACATAAATAATTTTAAGTGGTCTGAATGGAATAAACTAGTTAACCGATGCTTGATCTACCACACATAAAATCTGAAAAGCTTAGTAGCCTGCATTCTCCATTTAACATCTTCAGCCTGTGACAATATTTTTAATAAAGAACAGATCAAAGAATAAGAGCGAGTAGGATTGCCTTCATAACTTGTAATGATCTTTATTTTTAAAAATACCTTTCATGACACAACATTACAAGGTATTTTACATTAACACAAAACAACCGTAAACCTCTAGCAGTTTATAAAAAGCATGCTTCTTAGCCTACATATCAGGGTTTTCAAGAAGATATGAAAACTGTTCAAACATCATGTGTTATTAAGCAAGAGACATAAGGAGGATTTCATTCACAAATACAGGTATTATGCATTTGAGACCACAGAAAATACTAAGCTACTAGACTACAGGAACATATGCATCCTGATTGCAGAAAAGTACTCCTGTGATTTTTTTCAAATATGATACTCCCTGATATAGACATCTGCACTATTAATCAGTTCACTAATTTTACAAAGCAATTGCACGCAGCTTTCATTATACAGATGTATGAAATACTGCACTGATGAGACTCGAATCTGCCTTTGATGACACAGTGAATTTCAAAGCGGCTTGTAAATGGCTTTCAGTATTTGTCAGCTGGGTGTGGTGCTTCCATTGAGACCATTTGAGATTCAGAAGCCCAGAGCCCATTAAACACAGACAGAACACCTTCAGACAAAACTAAAAGAATCCATTGGAGTGTGCTTTTATATAATATCGATTTTGTATTTCAGATGAAATTTAAAGCAATCCTAGTGGAATTTTCAACTCCATACTGTTCTATTCATTCAATTTACTTGGGTGGAATAATATTCCCTTTTCCATTATACAACCCAAAGCCCCTTTTAAAAACTAGGATACAACCTATTTACATTAAATAAATTCACATTTTACAGTGCTCATGCACTCTCATTACACACCCATGTAATTGTGAAGTTTGTCCTCATTAAACCCCTATCCTGAATGCATCGAATAGCTGTTTTTACAGGGGGTATCAAGTTTCAGTTCCCCATTAATCAGAATGAGATAGTGAGAAACAGTTCATTGTAACTTAGTTGACTCAAGCCATGCAGAGGGAACTGATTTTAAAGCAAAATGAAACTGAATGGTACTATAATCAGTTATTGTAAAATTATATACATTGCTTATAATTTTCTTTATAAGCAATGTAGACTTCTTAGCGTTTACATCATACAGTAGCTCTTTATTTAAAATAGGCCTTTTTTATACCCAGCAAATTATTATATATTTTACATTAAACAAATGCTGGATTGAGATAACAACGATGTTTTTCAAAATAAACCATTTTCATTCAAATAGGAGGTTATTGCTTCAGTCCGAATTGTCTAAATCCAGTGCAAAAGCAAAGTGATTGTTGTGTTTTACCTGTTCCCACATCATTATGTCTGAGCTATTAATACACTCTTTCATCCACAGATGTCGAAGTTAGATTTTGTCATGCCACTGTTTTGCCTTCAGTCCTTAATTGGTATTACGACCTATGGCTTCTGGCTTTTTAAATTTATTTATGTAAATTTATTTGTAGAAATGGAGCAGACAATTAAATGTGACAATAATTTCAACCTGAGAAAAAGATGCCCGTGCGTAATTAAATTGTTAAAGCTGTCAACCTTCTCCAGCACAGATAAACATGACATGAGAAATGACCATATTACATAGTAAAAGGAGCAAATGTTTGAAGAAGGAAAAAACACAGATACAGTGATTAATTTTTATGTAGAGCCATCTCCTTCTAACATATCATTTCTACCAAGCCTCTTATGTGTGTGCTCTATATCTATTTGTTTTTTATTTTTATGTTAGCTCCTAAAAATCCTTATACTGTCTATAACTGCCCTAACTCCATAAAATTCTAAATAAACACTTAGGTTCGGTAGAACACTTCAATAAATTTTTATATTAGAATTTGTCGGCTTTAATGACTGATTCTTTATATACTTGCTACTTGCTATACATGAACTGCCTGCAACATTTTAAAATCAGTTTTACAGCAGATAATACGCTTGGAATAGAACGGTTTTAGAATATGGTGGAATAAAATTAAGAAAAGGCAGAATAATATGTTGCCGACTTGAAGTTGGTATAAAAAAGACAACTACACTAAATAAATCAAGCAACCAAGGCAGCAAGATTGTAGATCTCTTTCAAAGATACAGCCACAACCTCACTTATACTCTATTTTGTCTAGTTAGACTGTACTATTCACTTGTTTCACTAATTTACTACAAAAATAAGTACTGTAGTACAATAAGCTGAGAAAGTCTTCCAGCTTCTGAACGTCTCAAAAGCTTTCTGGTTGTGTACTATAAGCATCTGTGACAAAGACACGGTTTTTCTCATGCAAAAAGGTCATGACTTGTATAAACATGCTTTCGGTGCCGAAACAGACATGAAATTATTCTTTCATAAGAATGGGGGCCTGTGAAGCAAAATAATGCATAAAATCAAAACCAACTGAGTTCCGTCAGTATCACAGGGAACCAACACTGTACTGTAAATGAACAATCTTGACAGGTTTCAAAATAGAGGTTTCTTGAAAGAGATAATTGGTAATTTCCTTTGGACCAGACACCTTCAAAAGCTACTGCAGGCTGTAAGAAAGGAGGACTTGTGTAGTTTCAACCCTCTTACTGACGTGTGTATAAAGTATTTGGGCTATTTAAAGAATAATGCCTCCCCGCAATGGTAAAAAAAGAAACATAAACTGATTGGATAAAGAAACAGCTCATAATTGGTGATCCCTTTAGATACAAAAAAGCTTCAATTAAACATAGTTCTCGCCATGAAAATGCAAGAACTATGAACACGGAACAAAGATGTCATTTGTCCTCTTTAAGCCTCCTTTGATGTAAGACAGGAAAGAAAAGAACTTGAATCATTTATGCCCTATTGCCAGATCTACAGTGCTTCTCAGGTACTCTCCTTCTGTTCTCATAAACGCACTCTCTGTAAGAGGCTAGAGGCTCTGTGTGATGTAACTCTGTCTTCCCACTGCAGTGACTCATGAACACCTGCCTTATCATACAGTGTTGCTTCATGGGAAGACAGTTACCCATATGCTTGATTCCTCCTCCTCCAGTTTCCCCTGATTGTTGAGTTCCAACTTTGATTTATTAACTGTTTCCTCCCGTTAAGTGTTTTATTTTAGTTTCTCAAAAAAATAAAATCCAACCTTTGTGAATCAGATTGTTATTAGCAGAACAAACTACTGCAAAGTTTTTATTTCTCTCAGATGTTCTTAGTCTTAGCGTCTTCATTCACTTAAGCATTGAGAGTCTCTCCTCCCGTGCCTCAGGTCATCAGACTACTGAGAATATCCAGCAGTTTGCCGAAATAGATATCTTGTTTTCTGCCTTAGGGAAACTGCATTTCAGTAGTTACAGAGATAGCTTTTATTTGCTGACATAAGAATGCCTGAGGATCTAGTACTGATAAAAAGCGCAGTGTAATTGTAAAGCTCAGGAATTCATCTAATATATTTACATGCAACGTTTTGGGTGGAGGGTGATTGTGTATGGAGGGAGTGGTGAAGCAGATTGAGTTCTCTCAGAGCTCATTTATCTTATCGGTGTGGCAGGGAGAAACGTATTTGCAAAATAAGGAATAGCATTGAGTATTAAACTGTTATTCAGCTAATTTTGGCTTCAGGATGTAATTATGCACACGTTTTATAAAACATGAGAAATGTATCTCATACGAGCACTTTTAATCCTTGTAGGTATTTAAATATGAATTTTGGCGGTTTCTTTCTAAAGGCTCTTAGCACTCAGTAATACAATCACAAATCATTTCAATGAAGATAATCAAAGCACATAAATGACGTAACATCACACACAATTCAGACGTTTAGCCGAAACTGACCCTAAACTGCTTAGTCCTCCTACAAGATTAAGTTTTAAGTGCATTAAAAGCGTCGTGTTCAACAAGCCTATGTAAGTCTCGGTGGTTTATTGTCGTCTACGGGAATCACGAGTTGTGAACCTCCGACATCACAATAAAAAACCGAGAAGGCCTCGGGATTTAAACCACACACGCCTGACAGTCGAGTGCACGGCTGTTTGGAAGCACGGAAGGTAAAAAAAAACCAAACAAAAAAAAAAAGAAACAGAACATGCTCACTCCCGCAGACAAACTGCACCCAGCGTTCAAAAACAGTAAAACAAACAAAACACGTCTTGCAAACTCCAGGCAGCGAGCCGCGACGTGCAGACACCTGGGACGGAGAGAAGACGTCATCGCGGGAGCCCGCAGGTAAGCGCGGAGCTCGGCCACTCCCCCGGCACACCTGACCGCCTGGGTGTGGGCGCCTCGCTGTCGGTCACCGAGTCACTGCCTGTGTGTTCGCCATTCCGGGAAGGAGTTAGCACCCCCCCCCGCCCCCTACGTGGAAAAGGCCAAAAAAAAAAACCTTGGATAAAGTTCGAGAAGGTAGGGCTTGTTTTTTTTCTTTACGTTTTATCCCGAATATAAGAAACGACGTAAGCGAAGGTGCGAGTTAGCTGACTTTTCGGAAGTTTATTTTCTTCTGGGGAGGGTGATTCAGGGATTCAGCAGCAGCAGCAGCGTAGGAGTGGCGTGTAACAGCCGCGCTGATCCCATTTCCTCTCGGAGTTGGGAAGTTTGGTGGAGCGGAGGAGCACGGGCGAACGGGAGGGATAAAACGACGGAGTAAAAAAAAAAAAAACTTTTCACGAAAACTTCAAATCTGAACTTTTTTTGTTCATTAGGGTTTCGTTCCAGGGGGGAAAAAAAAATCGCAACATCGGAAGCGGCGTGTGTTTCAAGGTACGCATGAATCGTGTTTTGAACAATTGTAGCTAGAAAAGAGCAACACAATCGTTTGTTTTGAAAACAACGCGATAGGCAGGGTTCATCCATTTTGACTGTTTTAACTTGGGAGGGTTCACCGTTTTATTCGAGCTTTCCTCTAAGCGTTGTGTGCTTAAAAACCTTTCCCATTAGGCACCGTTGTATCTTTTCCGACAGTAATTCGAAATGTGAGCATAAGAAGTCTATTTTAGAAGCACGATAGACTTAATTGTTTATGGGGAAGAATGGCTTCTCCATTTCATTTCAGGGCTGCCCTGCCTAAAAGTAATGAAGTTTCAGAAGGGAAACTAAATTAGTGGTTTTTAAAAGTCACGTTTTACGTGTGTTCAGATCACGTCCTGTAAGTTTTAGTATTCATTTTAAGTTTAGGGGAATGCTGGTAGTTCTTACTTTTTGACCCAAAAAAAAAACATGCTAAGCACAGACTTAACCACAGCATGAGTTTTAAAAAAGTTACTCAACAGGGTTGAAACACGCTCTGCCTTCGACTTGTTTCTTTTTTTTATCCTGCGGCTTTTTAAAAATAAAAGCGAAGCAATGAATTTGTACAAATTTCCCATTTTTTTTTAAAGGACCAGCGTGTGAATCGCATGAACTTTCGTGCGTCTTTTTAAAGTAGGCCCGCCCTACCATCAGACTATGTAATGATGTTCCCTTAGCTTATGTGTTATTTTTTTTTAAAGTTTTGAGCTGGTTACTGTACGAACGTCGGTTCTGTATCGAGCCTGCACCCCAGGGCGATTGAAAGTTAAATTAACATGGCCCAGGATACTCCCATGCTGGTCGGGTCCGTGTTCCGCCCTTCATAATCTGGGAATGATCCACCCTTTTTACTGATTTCATCAGGAATGTGCCAAGCCGCTACCACCTGTGTTGTTGTCTTTTTTTTTGTACTTCTGTTGTCTCTTAAATGTTGAGACGAACCAAACCAGATACGCCACATCTCCCAGAAAATAAAATATACGTATATTTTCGTGGTGGGGGTAGGGTTGGGCTGGGCACTCATTAGGCAAGAACTTCCGGTTGTCCCAAGCGCGTAGAAATGCTGGGTTTCCCGTTTCCCGATATACCGTGTCCTTTAATTTCAGTATCGTCCTCCGTTGCCCAGTGTTTGCTCTGTGGGTGCTGCGATATCAGGCCAGCCTCGGTGGTCAGGGGTGGTTTTTAAGTTGGACCCTCTACTGATGGTGAATTTGAGTGTCCCCGGTGTAATCACTTCTAGCAAGGCTGCAAACGTAGTTACGGTTTTAAAAATAAAAGTAACTCGGAACAAAATACTGACAGTCCTCCGTGCTGCTTCTGTATCAAATTTAGCGATTGGAAATAAGACTGAAAAAGTTTTACATACTTCCTAGGCAAGTAGGCGTTAGGGTATTTAACAATCTTTACGAGACTTTCAGTAAATAAAGGAGTGATGGACTGTATACCGACTCCACCTGTCTAGTATTTTTCCTGTGTGTAATGTGAGGTCTGGCTTTATTACAATAGAAACATCTAACATTTGGTTACATTTTCGACTAAATGTCTTTTAATTAGTTCAATTTGCAATCATAGCTCCTGTTTATTAACACTTGTCACTGCTAATCGGGTTTTGAAAGCGTGGGATTTATCTGGATAAAACGTGGCTATTGTGAATGCTCATCAATTCTTAGAAAGTTATTTATATTAAAGTTGCTGCCCTCTCGCTTGTTTCTAAATTGAATTCTGAACAATAACTTGAAAAACATTTATAAAATAATAAAGACTATTGTAAGACATGGCTAAAAACGTACACCTGACTAAGCTTTTGTCAAGTTCAAAGGAAATTTCTGATAAATTGGAGTACTTCTCCACAATAGAGTTTGCAGACTTAAGTCTTCAAATCAAATGTCTGGGGAAGGTTGGAGGCTGTTACAAATGTTGCAGAAAAGTGTGTCCTGGTTCATCCCGTTACAATAATAAACCATTTTTAAGACAACAGAAACTTATGGAAATACCTGGGCCAATATTCAAACTTGACCCAAACCTAGCTACCTAAAATGAATTTCAGATGGCTCTGACCCGATGTGGTATTTTGTAAGAAGGGTCTGGTTTGCCCATAACTGTCCACAACCGATTAGTAGGTTTGAAATTGAAAGGGGGTGGGAGGGTCCAATTTGTGATTTAAGGCAAGCCTTGGTTTTTTACACTGCTCCTAAATTGACCTGTTTCACTGCACTGTGTAGCCTACCTGTATTTAAGATGTGGAAGCTCTGTATCAGGAATATCTTTGCTTGACTTTTGTGTAGCGGGTTAATTTGCTCCCTGTGTGTGTTCAAAAACGGAATAAATGAAGTTCCATTTTTATGTTGTAATCCGTTTAGAAATTAAGAGGTGGGAATGTTCAATTTCTGAATTTATCCTAAGTAATAAATCAGGGTGGCATTTTTTTGTTGGGTATTTTAGCTTTTTCCCCTTCAACTAAGACTGTAAAAAAAAGTTTTTTCTATGTATATTCACTGTCCAGCATAGTAAAAAAGTTTTAAAGTCTGTAAGTGGTCTTACTAATTTAACTTTTCCATGTCTAAATATATTTTCTGTCCCCTACAGTTATCCAAAATGTAAGCCCATCAGAGCTCCTGAGGCTTATGTTATACACAGACGTGTAACATATTTGCACAGCAGATGATATGGTAATTGGTATCTGTTTATTAGTTGGTGCTGGTAAAGTGAGTGTGGAATCTGTTGTGGAGTTTTTTTTTGTATTGGACCTGCTGCTGTTGGGCAAAGTGCTTCTCCTGAGCATGTGTCCTGCCCATCGGACCACCCCTGTCAATCAGCTTGGCTTCCTAACAGCTGCCACCCCCTGGGGGGCTGGTTGTCCTTGATATCCAATGCATGACGGTTAATCAATGAAGGATGCGGTTGTCGCATCTACAGCAAATCGAAAATGAGCATGAAGATTATTCTGCTGTACCTAATAACTGTCATTCTCTTTTAGGGATGTGAAATATTTAGGCTATTTGGGAAGTAAACTCGTTAAATTGATTTTTTTTTGAGGGCAAGCCTTTCCTGTTTTTTTTAATATGGTCCCCAAATTTATGAATTGTGGAACTGTGTTAAGGAAATTGAGTTTTTCCGGAAACCTGAATTGCTGGGAAAAATAGGTACTTTGACCTTGTGAAGCTTTTTTAAAGAAAGTTTGTATTGTTTTATTGATCAAGTACGATATTGAACTGCTCTTGCTCTTCCTTCTTCGGTCTGCTTCAGTAGGTAGGTGATTTGTTTTTGTAGGTAGTTATAAATAATATGCTTTTCAGAGTTTTGTCTCAGATGTCCAAGGGAAGCTATGGTTATTCTGCGTTTCTGATTTTTGCCGGTGACATCTGATATTACTCTACAACAAGTTGAACAATGAATGTAGAGTCATTTAAGGTGTTGGAACAGTAAAAACTAGTGTACCCTGTGGCACAGATTCTGCCAGCATCTGAGAAAGTCAGTCAGCTCCTTCTGCAGGTGGAAAAGTCTGTCTAGGGCGATGTTCCAAATGCTTGATGTGGTGACTGAGAATGTCATGTCATGGCATGGATATGGATTTGTGCTCTGCTTGTGGGGGGACTTGCCACCGTGAAAGACGCCCTTCCCAGCATAAAAGAGACGCTGCATCATGGGATTAAAATGTTTGCTCGTTTCTGAATGATAATTGCAGCTTATCACGGACTTTGCCCTCTAAGGAATAACCAAAACCAATGCCAGGAAAATGCCCACAACTTTATGGACCTGAACCTTTCAGTGTTGTAAACGGGCACTCAGGCCTGTAGGTTTGACTGTCCTGAACACAGTGAAGGATGATTCACCTGAGCACGTCACATTTATTCACTGATCAGTGGTCCATTGCCAGCGCTCCCTGCACCACTGGAATCGAAAACATGCATTTCCAAGAGTGGTTAGTAATATTTGAGCTGCAACCTGACTAAAGTATCCCACTCTGTGCAGTTTACAGTGAGCATTTTTGATCAGCCTGGCACGCAAGCAGCCAGTTTAAAGTTTGCAGTTGATCATTTGTGTTTTGCACTTCTGTTTTGGATATGATGATCCTGGAGTATATGCTTCTGCTAACTGTTGCCCTTTTCTTTCTTTTCTGGAAATTCCACGCTGACCTCACTTTATGAAATTGCAGATTCACGAAATTGCAGATTTGAGCTGGCTTGTCCAGCTAAACAAGCCCCAACAATTGCCCCCTTTTCAAAATGACCGAGTGTGTTCACTTGCAGCCATGCTACTAGCCATAATTATAGGCACCCCGTCCTGTTCAATGTTATATAAGAGTGACCTTAAACATGCTGAGAGGTTATTTGCTTAATTAATTAAAGAACCACATCAATCTTTTTGTCCATGATCTGTATTCTATTGTACGTTGTACCAAAAATAAATTTTAGTCTGTAATTTGTTTTCAATAAGCCTGTAAGATTTGAAGTGCTCAGTAAATGAAACTTGTACCGGACATTAGGCCCAACATTACTGGAAGCTTTGGTACAGCTAATGATTTATTTGTAAAACTGGATTAAAAACATGCTTTAAGTTCATGGGAAGAACTTGTGTTGTGTGGGTTTTAATTAAAATGGTTTAGTCTTGATACTATGAAATGTAAGGCTTTTGCTTCTCCTTAACACACCCTAGGTTTAGGTTGAGTCTGTTTATCTAAAAGATAATTGAGCATTGAGTTATTTGTAAACTGCTTCATGTGTACAAAACCTCTGCTGGTATTTAATTGATATATTGTAGCCAAGTCAGATGGACCCAGGGTAGTTACCAAGAATGGGCTCCTTACGTAAGATCACAGGATAATTCTTTTAAATTAATTTTTAATTTCTTAATTGTTTTTGGAAATGTACATTTAGACATGTTGTTTTTTCAGATTTGTCTGGAAGAAAGTTACATTTTTCACTATCATTGCAAACGGTTTCTGCCACAGTGCAGGCTGCATAAACCTGTTTTTAAATTATGGACTTTTTTCCCTTCATCCAGTTCTGTATAGCTACAGGCAGATCTGTGACTGATTAGTACTAATAGAAGACAGCTGGTGCTCCTCATTTTGTTGGAAGTCTCTTACCACAGTAGTGGTTCTTAACTGTTTGAAAACAGTTGTGTACTTCCAAGCAGAGCCACTTGTGATTCCTCGGCAAAAAAGACAAATTTCTTCACGCTAAAAGTAATTTGTTTTCTGGATGCAATGCCTGTCTTAATCCTCCCATGTCTATGAAAATAGCTGTTGCAAACATCCTTTGTTTAGCTAAAGGATATATTGAGTTTTGCACCCCCACTATTTCTGACAGTTGTGGGTCAGTGGAAAGTGCTTTACTCCCTGTGACTTTCTTCTCATACCTCTGTAAAAGCTGAAGTTTTCAGATGTAATGTGGGTTTAGTCTTGTTGGCCAGCATGACCTGTTAGGAGCAGTCCAGAAGTGCAGTTAAGAAATCATGCACTTAGGTTCTGCAGTTTACATGTGAGATTCCCCACTCATCAAAAGTTTAATTAGGTGTGAGAGAAATGTAGATTAGGTAAGTTTGCTCCACATCTGAATATTGGTGAAATTCGTTTCTGAAGTTGCTGTTGCAGGTTTCTCCCCCGGTTTGTAGATTGCTTTTCAGATAAGCTAATCAATTTTAATTGTGTAGGAAAGTGTCACGACTTGCTGCTGGAAGCATATCTTCTGATCGGCTTAAATTGGTCTTTATAATATGGAAAACTATACACGTCTGCCAGAGGATTTCTGCAGTATTTCACGCTGCAAGATTTCTCGCAAACTTCAGCATCGGCTTTGAGTCTTCTTATCTTGTTTAAAGTGCAAAAAAGAAGTGTTAATTTTTTTGAGCTTTTATACATTATTTCTTCGAATCCCCAGCTGGGAAGATGGGGCTAAGCAGCCTTAGGCATATCTTGCTTAATGCTTTAAAGTGGTTTAAGTCTAAATGGTAATTCAAGAAGTGGCACACAGAAGGTGAACTGCTTTTATGGCAGCACAATGCAATAGTTTGGATTCTATTTTTATTTTAGATGGTAACTTTTGAAGTTACAGATGAGAGAACCATTCATTGTTTTTGTTGCTTTTATGCTGGAAAACTTTCATCCAGGTGTTTTTTATGGTCTGACCACTGCTGCTTTTCCAACATTGTTATATTGTTAATGCTTTATTAACCTTAAACTGAAGGTTTTTTAATTTTATTAAGAGATACCATCCAGTAGATGAATAACCAACCTGCCTGCTTCCTTTTCAGATACTGGATTAACATGACGAGCATTAACACAGCGAACATTAACTTCAAATGGGACCCAAAGAGCCTGGAGATCAGGACTTTGGCTGTGGAGAGGCTGCTGGAGCCCTTGGTCACCCAAGTAAGAATTTTACTTAAGGCTCAAATATGCACTGTATAATTCCAGTTCATGTTGCATTTTAATTATTCATCTATCAACCAGTTTTAATTTTGCTTCTTACTGCATAATTGTGGTTGAACTAATTCCATGAACTTGGCTTTATTAAAACCGAAAATGACAGTTTAGTGGTATGCATTTGGGGATGTTGCCATGACTACTGTCCTTTAATTCATATAATATTACTATTCAAGATATATATTCTTTCATAGGAACACAGTAAGAAATGGTATACTGTCTCTGAATTGATAATCTCTGAACCGGTTTTCTCCTGAAAACTGGGGTTGGGAGAAGTTTCTCATTCTCAAGAGTACTAGATAAATTCCAGAGCTTTGTAAATAGTCCCAAAAAACAGAGGAAATGCTGTAGATTTCAGCAACTGGTAATGTGGTGCATGAGGAAAATGTTAAAGACTGTCAAGTCCTGTTTGCAGCAGTTTTCTTTCTGTTTAGAGATGCAGTCTTAGGACACTGCTGGAAATTTTGCCTGAGTGCTACTTTTTCACGATGTGCAGTTTCTGTAATATCATGGGTTACGTGGAGCTCTAATTGCAACCAGTCTTGCAGGCTCTTTCACGTCCTAGTCTTTACAGAGGAGCTTGTGTGAGTTTGACCCCAAGTATCAGTTTGTTCTCTCTCTAGTACTTTGTAGGAATAAGGAATAAGGCATACAAAACTTGTCCCTGACTTCTGATTTTGAGGAAGAGTGAATGTTCTTCTTTCAGGTCACCACTCTGGTGAACTCCAGCAACAAAGGCCCGTCGAACAAGAAGAAAGGGCGTTCCAAGAAGGCCCATGTTCTGGCTGCCTCAGTGGAGACGGCCACGCAGAACTTCCTGGAGAAGGGGGACAAGATCGCCAGGGAGAGTCAGTTTTTAAAGGAGGAGCTCACGGCTGCGGTAGAGGACGTGCGCAAGCAGGGTAAGAAACAAGGGTGCGAATACTTGACGCGGTTCACCGGGCGCTTGGATCCCTGTCCTGTAATCAGGCTGGGAGGTCCAGCTGCACCAGCCGAGCAGACAGCTGAATTTGCCAGTGATAAAATAACGTAATCCAAAAGTGTTTTTCATTGCTACGTGAAGTCACTGCTCTCGAAATTGGGTGCCTTCTTTACATGGCTCATTGCTTTCTGAGATAGGTGGGGTAATGTCTGGCCAGAAAAAAATAAATGTTCCTTGACCTATGACAAGTTTTTTTTTTAATTTCTTATGTTCTTTTTTGACTTGCAACGCTTGCAGGACATATACAGACTTCAGCTGCACTTTTGTGATCCCCAAGCACAGTTTCTAATTTCCAGAAACTTACTGCTTTAATGTAAAAGGACCTCACAGAGGTCTGTGACTTCTGTGCCCTTATGCCGAGTAAAAATTTCAGTATTTAGATTGATCTGTATTTCTTCGCCCCTAAGGAAATCCATATCCATAAAGAAATCCAGTGTCCTTATAGTTTATAAAATGATCAATTGATTTTATTCTGTTTGTGGGAGACATGATATTATAAAGCTGTAAATGCTAGTTTGTATTTTACACTTGTAGGAAAACTGAAGGATACAGAAGACAGGCCTTGATTCTGCTGAACAATTTGCTCGCAACTATACCTTTCATAAGTGTTTATACTATTGCATTGTGAATGAAGTGTTCAAATTTAATAAAATGCGTGTCTTATTTTGTCATCAGCAAGTCAGGAGCCCTTAAGTTAAATGTTCAGTGCAGGGAGGGCTTTTTCAGCAATTTACTTCTTGCCTTTGTGGTAAAGAGGATTTGCATTGCATGCACGATAAGTTGTCTATTGGATGGTAATCTAGGTATTTGTGTGCGCTTCTGGGCCAAAAGAGGATTGTCATGCTTGTTACAGAGCAGCCTACAGCTACTCTCAGCATCTCTGCTGCAGTGTCGGGTTATTTCCATGAGACATGATTGCCAAAAAAATGGAACCCATATTATAAACTAGTGAACTTTTGTCCTTCTGAATTTCATAGAAAAGCAACTGTATAAAAACGATTAGAGTATGTCCTTGTGTACCTGCTGTAGCAGGCAGATGTACAGCGTTGCTTATGGCTTACACGGATAAGGCGTAATAAGGTGTTCTTTTGCATAAAGTAATAAAAAAAAATAACCCCGGTGCTTGGTGAATTAAACAACTCTTTATTTTAAGAACATAACACTTGTCAAACAGCGGAAACATTAAACAAATCTGTTAGCTGCCCGGTATTTAGTGCGCATGCGCGTATCATGCGTAAAGCATGAACATTTATCGAACTTTTGTTAAAATCATATAGAGGAAAATTGTCGCGATAATTATCGTTATCTAATTATCGCCAGGCTCTACGCCTGCGGTTGCCATGGGAGGGCCAGACCAAATGATACGGTCCGCGGGCCGGATGTTCCCCACCCCTGATCTAGATGAACAGATCCCATAATCTTCCTTCCTTCTCATTTCCTTTTGGTGTCATGTGCTGTATGTATACAAGTACATCAAATAGGATGTTGCACATTACAGCTACTGTATAATGAAGACTAGTGAAGAGCTGTGAATTTTAGTACACAGACAAATCAGATCTTGGGGAAACATTCCTGCAGGATACAACTATGCACACTCGTAGACACCACACAGATCTTTATGGTTATAATAGCCTATATACATGGAGAGACAGGATGCTGATATGAGGCTGTTGAGTGTGTACTCTTTCCTGTGAGGAGTCCCGTTTTTGTTTACCAATCTTAATTGTTCTGCATTGCACAATTCTCATCAAGCGTTTTAAATAGGACAGCTAACTTCATATGTACGCTATGTCCAGGCACTTTTTTTTGGGGGGGGGGGGGGTCTTTAAATGGGGGGGGGAAAACATTTGTGACTGGAACTGGTAGTAGATAGTTCACTGCCCTGGAATGTCAGATTGGTTTTGGCATGCTTTCACTGGTGTGGAATGTGATGACTGCTAGCTGGTGCCGGGGCCTGTCAGCTATGCAGTGGCCGGGCAGCCGTGCGTGGTCAGACTGATAATGCAGCTGTTGAGTGGAACTAAATCCTTTCCAGACTGAAAAGCATTTTCCCCACCCAGCTGTAGTACACCAGCTGTTATGTGGAAGCAGACTGAACTTAGTCTTAATTAGTGTGGTGTAGCATGATTTTCCATTAATGAAAATATAAAATGCATTTTTTGTCCATTTGGATTAGGTTAGGTTCAAGATGTTGGGCATGGCTTCTTTTTAAAATGTATTTTTACAGTTGCAATATTTATAAGTGCAGGTTTGTTTTCAAATTTAGCTACCCACATTTTAGCACTGCAAAACCTCAGAGTTTTAGACAGTCAAATTAAATGTATTCTGGATTTTATCCAGAATCCGTTATCCTAATTGAATAATGCCCAACAGGTTTGTCTAAAAAACGGTGCTTTTCACTTCACTTTGCATGATATAATTATGATATCCTTAATGTTATTTGCTATAATGATCGTGCTAACAAATGTGGTTTTATTTACTCAATTGTATGGTGTAGTGGCACTTAATCAATGAAGTGCAGACTCTCTACTGTTCAGCTGCTAGAAAGAATCAGTTACCCCTGGCCCTCCTTGTTCTGGGTTGGGAGTGCCCTGAAAAGCCTTTTTAGAAAACATCCTCATAAAATATTTGATAAATTTATTGATGCATCTTATATTGGTATGCAATTAAGATGGACCTTTGCAAGTGAAAAATCACAGACATATTTTATGAGATCGCACCTGTTGTTGGGGTTTTAAAGCCAAGGGATGCTTTTGAGTTGATGGATGAGAGTTTATTACACACACAGCGATCACTATCTGCACTGTGAAAATAGCTTTATTGATTGGGTTCTCTGAAGGGAATGACATTCTTACGGTAGCAAGTTTAGGAAAATCTGTATCTTTCCCCAAGATCTGCTCCAGTGTGAGCTCTCTTTATTAATGGAGAGTCTTTTATTCCAGGGTTAAAAAAACTACCTCTTGTAACTGTCTGATTGTTTGATGTACCTGATGCTTTGAGTTATCAATTTGTGAGCCGACGAATTTTACTGAACAGCTAAGAAGCACTGCAGTTGCTGGGTGTAATAAGTCAACTGGTCCACATTTGGTCCATTTTCTTTTCAGATTTGACTTAGTGTCTTGCATAGATTAGTGCAGGTATACCAGTGATTGTTTTCATGTTTAATAACTTCACGTGGCGTAATTTCTAGATTAGTTGCACCAAATACTGGTGCCATGCTTTTGAATCTAAAAAAAGCAGTGGTTAATTCTTGAGGTCTTAAAACAGTGGGAGAAGGTATTCTCACATCCTGCTTGCATACTAGGAGAGACTACATTACCATAGCAATGTTCTGCCCTGCTCTAACCCCATTCCTTCTGAATAAGACAATTGGGCAGGACCCACTGTTCTATAAATAGCAGGAAAGGAATGGAATGGTACTGTATATTGATCTGCAGCAAGTTCATTTGATAGTGGGCAAGGAGCTTGGCACTTGTTACATTGTTTCTTATACACAAAAGCCATTTTTAAGCATTATGCATAGTTCATAATTAAAACATTTTTCAGGCTTGAGCACATCATTACACACAGAAATGAGCTCATTATATATGTTCTAATTTGAGATGATTATTTCCCCCAAAACTCCTCAGTGAGTACGCTTATTAAAATAGGCAGTGAAGTTTGTGCAGTGCTTGATTTTAATACTTTGCTTTTATGAAATCTGCGGTAAGTTGAAGATCGTATGATCAGTTTTGCCATGTTTTTTACTTCAAATCTGAGGATTGTTTGGTAGCTTGTTTTTAAATATTGCTGTATCTTACCCATTTAAAAGGAGGCTTCACTCCTAGAAAATGCAGATAAAATAGTGGATCCCACCATAAAGAATAGTGCACTATTTTGTAATGCTGTAACCCTTTGAAATATAACCTTTTTGTATGTGGATTATAGGCCATGAAACCAACATCAGAGCATTATACGATGACTGAAAATTTGAGGCTGACCTGTTTCTTGGCAACAACAGGAAGCTCTTCAGTGAAATTGTCCTTTTTTGCCACAGCTCTAATTGCTGTCTATTCCTGTTCCCTTTGTTACAATGGACATTCCATTGCAATTACCTCATAGTCTAAGTGCCTGCTACAGGCAGACATGGGATTGTGTAGTTAATCCTTACCTGATGCTCAGCTGCCAGTTGGTGTCTGTTGAATTGGGGGTATTAAAATGAAGTTTGAAATTCAAATCTGTTAATAATGAAAGGTTGGTAAAGTTTATTTTTGGAGAGTCATAGCTGTTGGGAGTGTGGATTTTCATCAGTTCTCAGGATCTCAAGCAGTCATCAGTAACTCTTAACTGCCTTACGATTGAGCAGCTTGTGTAGAAAAACATGCTGTTCAGATTTGTGTTGTGTGCTACACAGAGGTCCGTCTGCTGCAAGACACTTAGATTGAAGGCGGCGTCGTATTTAAAGGCGTTTATTTCGATCCTGCAGGAGAATCGATGAAGACCGCCTCTGGGGAGTTTGCAGATGACCCCTGCTCATCTGTGAAGAGGGGGAACATGGTGCGAGCAGCACGTGCCCTTCTGTCTGCTGTTACTCACCTTCTGGTCCTGGCTGACATGGCGGACGTCTACAAGCTGCTGGTGCAGCTGAAACTGGTGAGAGAAGAGGCCTGGAAGTCAATTTGTTGGCTGCTCCGTTTTTTCCCCTTTTTTTAGTCTACTCCAGGGGTGTCAAACTCTGTGGCTGGCCGGATTTGATTAAATTGTACTTCCTGTGGGACTCAACCGTAAAATCCAAATGCAAGGGAGAAGCATTGATATTATTGGTATTATCGACGTGTAGCGTTCTGTGTTTTTAGCATTTCACAGCAGAATACCTCCCCTTGAAACTGTGGTTAGCAGTCATTGCATTTTCACTAGATGCCAGTTGAGGAAAACATGAATTACCTCGGAGTGTGAGGTGCCTTTTAGCATTTTTAACCACAATTTAATTTAACTTTGGTTGTAATTACTGTGCACTGGTCCTGTTTTTTCATTATATCCAAAATACCCTGAGTTAGTTTTTATTGGACTTGATGACATTTTCATTAAATACAGCTTCTTAAAAATTTTCAATTTCTTTAGTCACCAAGGTGCGTGAAAGGTAAACCTCGACCACATATATTGTAGTTATTTCCTATCCTAAACTCCAGGTTAGTCCTGGGATTTGGTATCATTTTGATTAATCTTTAGTGACACACTGGAAACTGCAGAGGTGACACCTGGCTAATGGATTTGAAAAGCTGCAGATTTGTGATTTTTTTTATACCTGTTTATTTTGCCATTCCCCCCGCCTGGTAGCTTTAATCTGAGTATGAGATTTTATAAGGGTTTGGTCACAAATTATCTCGCTTTCAATTTAGCTACCCTCAAGCACTGAGTATTTATCATTCCTATAGTAGAAACAAAACAATTTGATTTATGTTGCTAACATTTAAGTCATTATTTTTTTTAATGGCATTGTGACAATGTAGATGACCACATGATTAATGTGTGACTTTGGGCTTTTGTTTGCTCTTTAAAAATTGATTAATTTTGCTGTATATTTGTGAAAGCTAAGTTGAATTCATTGTAACTTCTGTTTTTAGAAGTTGCAATAAATGTAACTCTGGTCTTCCTTACATTATACAGTGTTTAAGTGTGAAGTTTCATTCCAAAAGGGTGTCATTCTCTGATACATTACATTTTCCCTATCCTTACATGCCTTAAAATATTTAAATAATACCTTCATAGGAGCAAACCAAGCCAGACCATTTTTGGAGATACATGTTTAAGAGTGCCTCCGTTTCTTTTGTAGGTAGAGGAGAATCTCGTGAAGGTTCGCAATGCTGGCACAGAACAGGAGCTGGGGATACAGTACAAGGCATTGAAACCTGAAGTCGATAAACTGAACATGATGGCAGCCAAAAGACAACAGGTACGGTACATCAGTGCTAAGGTGGGGCTGTGCAGGAGCCTGATGTTTGAATTGAAATTCTTTTGTGCAGACAGAGGAGGCTGAAAACCTAAAAAAGCCTCTCTTGTGTACAGCAATAAAACTGAGGGCTGTTGTATTGGAGGTGAACAGTTTTGTCAACTTACTGACAGTTTTTTTAAAAGCCTGCTCACTGTTTGATCTCTACTGGGACACACATTTTGACCTTCAATCACTTCAAGTATATCCCAGTGTTCATAGGCAATGCATTAAACTGTACAATCACTTTCCAAATTCACCTTAATTGATTTGATGTGTTCATTGGTACACTTTAACAGTGTAAACTGTGAAAGATCATTTTAGTCTTACAATATCTTGTGTGGTGACTGATGTCCAATCAGGGATAGCAACCAGGTCATGTACATGTTTTTTGAATCGTGAAAAGCTCTACATTTATGGAGCAGGCTTTTTTTATTCTGTAGAAGAAGTTTTTATAGATATCTGCATACCAGTTATTGATTTTTTATACCATTTTGAATAATTACATAGATAAATAGCTCAATCCATTTTGTGGTCATCAGCTCTTCATCAGAAAGCCTTTCTTGGTAATTCCTTTTCACATTTCTAATCACATTTAAAAACACCCCACAGCCTTTGACCTTTTTGTCTGCAAATACAAGCTTGAAAATGTTGATGTTGCCTGTTTTTTTTAAGTCTTCAACTGGTTGTCCAGATCCGCTCAATTCTCGATTTTAGAGATCCAGTATATTTAGTAATTTGAGTGCTTTTAAAACTTCAGGTCTGAAATCTGAACTCCAGTTTGCTTGGTTACATTTAACAGTAATTTTATAAACCTGCTTGAGTGCCACGAATGTCCATTTCTCAACATTTCCCAGTGTTGAGGCAATTTAATTGACTATATGTGTCACCCTGGTGAATGTTGTTCTTCACTTCTGCATTTGAAACCAGTCAGGATACCTGTAGTGCTCTGAGCCTAACCTTTCTAAAATGTCTGTCTGGTTCTGCTGTAAATTATGCTGACATATTCTAATAGCGGAATTATGATAATAGAGACTGCTCTCTCTGAAATGTATCGGTGACATTCAGACAGTGACTTATCATACCCGCCATATTCCTTCCGTGAAAGCTGTCACAATTAACATTCTAACAATGGTGCGTTTTCACCTCAAAAGTCCTAATCAAGCACTTCTTGATTTTATATAGTTTACAGTGTCAACTCACAGGCCTCTTCTGTTGATATAGTGCAGATGAACATAGGGCAGACAATTGGAGGACGCATCTTGCTTTTGTTGTATATGTAGTATAATTTCAAACTGAAGTGGTTCAGGAAGATTATCAAATGCACATGAATGCAAATGGCAGGTTTTACATGAACAAACATTGCAGACATTAATGCCGGGAGTGTGAAAATGAACTGTGAGGCTGAATTCTGCTGTAAAACAATGTGCAGTAAGTGCTCCTTTTTTTGATTAACAAGGAAGTGGAGTTCAGCTGTAGCAGTGTTTTAAGCAGTTGAAACTTCTACTCTTTCATGGGGAATTGTAGAACTGGAATGGTTTTTGGAATGGTTTATTGGTTGAGAATTTCCTCTTTGGCAATAATGAAATATAATGGCTGAATCGGATTCTCGCGTTCTCCTCCCAACCCCCCACCGACAGGAACTCAAAGACGTTCACCACAAAGACCAGATGGCAGCAGCCCGTGGGGTCCTTCAGCGGAACATCCCCATGCTGTATACCGCCTCCCAGGCCTGCCTGCAGCACCCTGATGTGGCAGCGTACAAGGCCAACCGGGACCTCATCTACAAGCAGCTCCAGCAAGCGGTGTCGGGGATCTCCAACGCCGCTCAGGCCACTGCCTCTGAAGACTCGGCCCTGAGCCAACCCGGAGGGGGAGGCGAGCTGGCGTACGCACTCAATAACTTTGATGTAAGTAGTGTTGTCAAGTCAATTTCTTTTTATTTTTTCTTCCATACAGTTCCCTAGGTCTGTTGTAGGGACTTGCACTACTCAAACATCAAGCTAATTCGCTTCTACTCACCATTGCTCCAATTGGAGTTAAATTTGGCAGGTTGCATTGCATTAAAACCTGCTTCTGACGGCTCTACACATGCTACAACAGTATATTAGACCCATAATGGGTTATCACCTGCTTGGTGAATTGTGCTCTATGCCTCCTAAGTGTTATTCAAAAACTGTTTGGCTGCTTTCTGGAGCACATCTAAACTTGGTAGGTATCCCTGTAGTGACAGCATGTCAAAATTGGATTCCTGCTTTAAACAGAAGGCCTCCTGATTGTCATTTTCTTCCCTTGTCAGTGTGCATCACAGATGGTTTCTGATCAGATCTGTTTGATTGAGCTCCAAGTGGGTACATATAATTTTTGTGACAATGCTAAATTGTCATGTTACGATAAAGGCTTCCTGTGCACAAGCTGACTTGCCATTTTGTTCTGAAAACAAGCTTCCTGTCTTGAACTGGAGCACCAATCGAATTAAAACTTGGCAGGTTTCACCAGCAGTCAAGCCTGAAACAGTGCTTGTAATATCCTGCAAAGTATTATGTTTAGTGTTTTGTCAGTACGCAACTAACAGCCTTGTGTTCTTGACTGTCCTTGAAAATAGGTGAATGTGTTCTGTGCTTTAAATGGAAAATATCGGCAGCACTAACTTAAATTAAGGTCCCCTAATAGATTCACAATGTAATGTCTCTTATAGCATTTCACTTGGATACAAGAGGACCAATTGAACTTGATTGACCGCTGTCAGGCATACATTACAATTACAATGTCAAAGACATGAAATAAAGAGCAAGTATGTGTGGGAAAGGGGATGGCATTTTTCTTCATGTTAGTGATCAGACATGATTGAAAGATGTTTATGCATATACTTTATTAATCAGAACTTGTATGCAATCCTACACTGTCAGTCCTACTCTAATGTTTATCTTACTGCCTTTAATGAAATTCAGATGCATTTATTCCTCAGTCCATTTAATATTGAACTTCACCATTTATACTAATGAGAGCTTATACTAAAATTAATCCATTTGGTATTTTTGGTTTTATGGAAAAGATCTAATAATTTCACATACTAGCAGAGTGACATGCTTTGATAACTAATCCATGTGCTACTTCTATGTATGTTGATATTCTTGAAAATCATTTACTTTCTGCACCACATCTTTGTGTCTAGTGGAAGAAAAGTAGGTGTTCTTAAAACCCGAAACTTTTATGCAGGTCTGGTTATTCATTGTGACAATATTTTTGGACAGTTTACGGTCTTCAGGCTGTTTTGTTTCATAAGAGTTCCAAAGGAATAGTCACTGCGATTCTGAATATGACTACTCAGATTTCCTATCCAAAACCGCTAGGGGTTATGTTTAGAAGGTTTGTGGTTAGGGCAATAGAGTATTGCTGCTTCCCTTATGTTTGTATATTTATGTAATATCTATTCTTTTGAAAACCTGTAATATAAAGTCTGAACTACATTTGGGTTCATCAAGTTATTTTGTGTGGAGAGTGGTCAGAAAGGTTTTTAGAATTTGGGCTCCTAAAAATTAACGATGTCTTGATTTTAAAAAAACTTTTCCGTTCCAGCTAACTTAGTATCTCTTGTATCAAAAAGGAATTGAAGTATGTACTTGATATCCCCCCCCCCCCCAATTTTGCCGGTCTTCATCCATGGAGTTTGCAGCACGCTGGAAAGGTTGTCTTGTTAATTTGCTCTGGGATACTAGATTGTCCCTTTTGAGTTCAGCGACTAGTAAACCTGAGTGCAGTCGCTGTTGAATTTGCTCTCTTTAGTGTAATGGAACAAGGCCTTTCTGATTTAACTGGTTATAGTAGGCCAGGTTTTGCACTGAAAAACTAGTCACCATTAACATTCATCTTAACTGAGTGTTTGCTCATAATCCCCATAAGAAAATAGTTAAGTACTCATTGCTCTATTTCCTTTGTGAGGCAGATATATTCAAGGTGCATACTGTAAGTCAGCATGACATTAAGTTTAAAAAGAACTGTAGTCTTCATGGAGTCTGTAGTTCTTCTGCCTGTCTCTAGGGGTAGCTCTTGATGCATTTTTAATTGTAAGGCTGACCTGTGCATTTCTGATCTTAAATTCTAAAAGGGGCTTAAGGGTTGACATCTGGGGACGGGTTTAGAGTGAGAGGGAAAGTGGAAGTATACTTAAGGCTATGGTTGTGACTTACTAGAATCATTATTCTTAAAATTATATCTAAATCTGTTAAACTTATATCATAACCCACTGACTTTAAAACTCTTAAATAGATATTGCATATCTTTACAAAAAAAGGAAGTTTTAAGATTAAAACTTCAATAAACTTGTATCAGAAAGCTCTACATTTCCTATTTTAAGTCTGAAGTCATTTTTCTTTGCCTCTTGCAGCATTATAAACTAACACATGGTGTTAACTAACACATTATCTAACACATGGTGTTAGATGACAGTGAGATTTTCTGATAAAGGGGCTAAAGAAAGTGACAAGTTACTTCTCAAACATCAACTAAGTTGTTACCTTTAGAAGGGCTATAAATGTGATGGGTCTGCTTTGCATTCCCTTCATCTGTTTAAACTTAATCTTCAAGAGATTTATTCACTATCTTCTGCTTTTAAGACTCTGCAACATGGACCCGAAACATTTTCTGAATATGTCCAAGGGTAAAACTTGGGATGCATTGCTTCTATAAATCTTGGCAATGAATGTTGTAGGATCTTAAGGATTGTTGTAAGATTTAAGGAGTTATGTCAAGTGATGTTAACAGCATTATAGATGAAACACATGTTGATTTCCTCCTACTTAAAAAGCTGTCATCTTTTCCTTACCTCAGAAAAGAGTAGAAAGCATTTGTCTGATCCTGATGTTTACAGAACAAGTATATGACTTAGTATTTAGGTAGCATGGTGAATTGTAAGGTTCTGTGCATTGTTTTTAGTGCGCATGTAGATACATTAGGACACAGACACCTGTTTTTCAGAACCTAACTTGAAGCAGAAGCGACTGAGTCATCAGCCTGTTTCCATGGAAACATGATGCGTAAGCAAAGGAGGTCAGGCAAGAAGATAAGGCTAATAAGCTAGAATTTTAACAACGGAATTGTGGAATGTTTTTCAAGGATAAGGTAGCATTAGAGCTTTTTGAAATTGTTCAGAAAATATCTTTCTTGCTCAAAGCAGTTCTCCCAGGTACATACTGCAGTCTTCTGCTAACCTGCTATGAGAAGTTAAAGCTTTCCTTCAAAAAGAAAAATTGCTATCTCGCAGACTGGAATAGTGTCTTGCTACTGTTTTCAGACTGGAAATTGTTTTGGGAATAGTATTCCGGATATCATGTGGAATAATTTTAAATGTTATTTTGATTTTGTACTGCACAAATTAGTGATGTCAAGTAAGCATTGGGCAATATTAGTTTTTAGAGCAGATCATGTAGAGAAAGGAGAACCTGCCTATATTTGCATATACTTTCTTAATTCTTTTCACAGTCCTTTGCAGCAGCAGCCCTAGACCGATCTAGAGTCACAGGATGTTAGCTAACCTTTCATGTGGGAGGTGGTCTTGGTGTGGCCTTTGTGGGGCTGGCTTGGTTACCCTTTTGAAGAGTCATTCTGACTCTCCCTCTGGGAGGTCCAGCGCTTTGCTGTCGAGAGTCAATGGAGAAACACTTGTTGGGAGTTTTTAGTTTCTTTTCCTCCTACGGAAAAAAAGATGGCTCTCCCAGGTTGTTTACGCTGTGGGAGTAGCGAGCGCTAGTCGAGGAACTGACTCACTTGAGCTTTAGCCTAAATGTTTCCTGTTCCACACTTAAAACATCACTCCAAATTGTCTGAATGTAGGCTTTATGACAATTTGCTTTGTAGGCCTACCACCTTGGATTTAGTTTCAGGTGTTTCTAAATTGACATGAGGTAGAAAGGATCACAACTAGGTAGAAAGGACCTGTTAATGCAGGATTTGAAGACCAGTAGTGTTCAGCTTGTGGTTGATAGTCCAGTGTTGCTGGAGTCTGCTATGTTGAGAAACATCCGGAGGTTTGTCTGCATTTTAATCAGCATTTTAAATTTATTTTACTGATTTCTAAGTGGTAATTCTTCACATGCCCTATTGGTCTTTTTGTTTTTTTGCACTCTTCAGAATCGTTCCACTGGAAGGGTCACTTAACCATTGTTGCAATAGCATGTAGTGAACACTAGTCTGTAATTCGGATAGTGAGTTTTGATTTTGGTCTCAATCTCTCTGGATTACTGAAAATAACTGCTTAATTTATCACAGTGAAACAGTAAAAGTCTTTAGAATTTGGTTATTATAAATTATGTGCAGTTAAAGAACTACCTAAAACTTGCAGGACTAGGGCTGTCCAGGTCTTGTGTTGGAGACCCATGCCATAGAACCACCTTGACATACTGCCTTTTGTACCAATTTTGTAATAACCTATTATTTGATTCACAGCTGCATGACAAAATCCCGTGTCACTTTGAGTGTGGGTCAGTGTATGTACCATTTAAAATAAACAGTTTATACAGCAGTTTTAGTTTGGTGCCATATTTTAAGTCATTCAAAGCACTGCTAGTGCAGGAGTATGAAATGTTAATTTATACTTACCAGTCTTTTGAGATTTTATGTCATAGCCTTGTCACTTTTATGCAGTATTTACAATCATTTGTTTGTACAGTGGCAGTTTGAGACAGACCTTTTTGAAGTTGAAAAACTGCCAAAGGTGGTTATATAACAGTTAATTTAAAAAAAGATAATGAACATGAAATTGCTCTGTGATTAGATTAAATGATTAGAACCTCTGCTATATATTGTGGTACATGAGGATAATTATTTTTTTCACTTTATTGTGAAATTATTATTACTGGATAGGTTTCATGTGTTTAATCGTTTGCTTTGGGTTTGGGGCTAGTGGTGCAGTGGTTTGGAAAGCTGGGATTAATCCTCAGAATAGGGTAATGTGAGGCATTCATAGTGGAATGAAAGGAAATTGACTTTCTCTTGCCATTTTCAGGTCAGTAGCTCACAGTCCCTTGCAAACGGGCATTGTATCTCAAGGGGGAAACCTAGCTAAGGTTCCTTGATTTGGAGAACATGGCCAACGCAGCAATTCATAAAGTACACACTGATTTAATTAAACTGCACACGTTACAAAGGTTAATCAGTAGGATTAATAAATCTTAAAGTACTTTTTAAATATAATCAGGTACAGTGTAATAGGAACATACACCTTTGGGGGTGTGTACCTAAAGCTGAGGGAGACATGAGGGTCCCAAAAGCCTGTTATACACCATATATATATATATGGTGCTTATTATCTGAGGTGAAAAGGGTCAAGCTAAAAGTTTTCTTTTCTTTGTGAAGGTCACAAGAGTTAATCTTAACTTGAGTTGAAATGGAAAAACTGCTCGTATCTCCAGATTACAAGATATCCCAAATTTAACTTATTATGTGGGGTACGCCTTTGGAAGCGGTAGTTCTTGGTCTTTTTCAGCAAGCTTGTGGGCGACCATGCTTAAGTAGTGGTATGACTGGCTTTGCCTTCCCATGTCGGTACATCTTTTTCAAACTGTAACTAAGGGATTAACAAGACAGTCCTGTTGTGTTCTCCAACAAAATAAACACTTGAACAAATGCGTATATGAATAAAGCTTGACACCCAAAGTTCAAGGTAGTATACTGTTCCAGAGAAAGGGTTTCATGGCAACAGATTCTGTACTTCTGTACTTGTTTTAAGTTAATGCACCATCACTAAGGGAATTCATGAGGTCATCTTGCTTTAATTTTCCATGAACAATACGGTGGTTAAGAAATGGACAAAAGATTAAACCTATGCCTTGTCTAAAAGACAAAATTTCATAGTATTTAAAACTGGAGTGTGTGCTCGGAATATGACCATCCCCACTAGATACCTGATTGCATTCAGAAGTGGACATAAATCCGCTAGAGTCAAAGCAAAACTGTTTTAATAAAATGAGTAATGCTCCGTAGCTGAGCGTGCTCTTAAAACTAATACAGAAAGGAGACAACCTTTAGACCTTAATGTTTCATAATAAACAATTGACAAACTTACATGATGGATTTTAAAAAACTTTTAATCCATGGTGCATCCATATACAGGCCATAAATTTAAGGTTTATTTGTAACATTACAAATAATGTAATGCCTTTGAAAGCCTTAAAGGGTTTTCAAAATGTTCAAAAGCTTTCCTAAATTAATCAGCATGTCTGAAAGTCACATATGACTTTCACTTTAATAAATTCATTCAAAATGTGTAGTGCATTGTTGAAGTTTACCACATCATTTTCTACAGGCAGTAGACAAATGGAAAAGCTTGGGTGAATAATGCAAACCAAGTATATGAAAGCAGGGGCTTTATAATATCCAAGCATGCTTAGTGTCGCATATAAAAAATGTTAGACAGCCATGATTATAGACAACCTGGCCTATCATGTCTACGAGAGATTTCATGAGCTTTGAAAGAAGCAATTTTTGGGCCATTGAGCAATTGTCTAGCTGGAGCTTCAGTGACCAGGAGCTCACCTTGCCATGATTCATAAACAATGATGTCTCAGGTAATGTCAGCGTGGAATTCCAAAGGAGTGCGGGGTAGCCAAATAGTCCAGGATCTTGATAGCCTTGCAGCAATCAGCTGACTGCAAATTTCAACCTTGGAAATGAGCAGCAAGTTTAATCAAAAATGTCCCTCTGAAAACGGAGCATGTAATCTTAAGTGGGTTGCAGTGCATCTGTCCAAGTCCAGCTTCTTGGTTTAGCTGCACTTGTTCCCTTAGAAGGCAGGGTTAATCCTGATTGTCACTTAGTGCCAACGAGTGGCCTTCACCTCATTTTACAGCTTTTTTTTTTCTTGCTGGGGGGGTTGTATTCCAGTTGACAATGTCCCCATCAGCAGAACATGACCTATCATCCTGTGGTGGTTGATCATGGCACCGATGTTGTCCATGTCATGGCCTTCTTCATCACCAGTTCTGAACCCGGTCAAGCATTTAGGGGATATTCTGGAAATGCCTTCATTTTCATTTTTTTCAACTGGTCATTGCCTTTCTAGTGGAAGAATGGTGCCAGGATGTTACTGTGTTCCTATTTGTTTTCAAGTATAATTTTAGTATTTTCAGGAAGCATGTGGCATTTAAATAAACTGCCTGATTTCAGGTCCAAACCAATACATTATTCTAACATGATTGTAAGTTAATTTTTCATATTACATGTCCGAAGTATCCAGATAATGTCATAGGCAAATGGTAAGGCCTTTTCATTATTATTTTAATTTCTATGATCAGGTCTCTTGGGTGGCTGCTTAGCATTCAGGGGTCTGAAGTTTTAAGTTTGAAAATGAGGTATTCTGGATATTTATTTCCTCTTTTTTTCCCCTTCTGTCTCTCCTAGAAACAAATCATTGTGGACCCTGTGAACTTCAGTGAGGAGCGGTTCAGGCCTTCCCTGGAAGAGAGGCTGGAGAGCATCATTAGTGGTGCGGCGCTAATGGCCGATTCGTCCTGCACACGTGATGACCGAAGGGAGCGCATTGTGGCAGAGTGTAATTCGGTGCGACAGGCCTTGCAGGATCTGCTCTCGGAGTACATGGGCAATGTAGGTCCTTTTCTGTGTTTTTCTCTTCTTCCCAGTCTTCTTTCCCCGCTCTGAGACTTTTATTTTATAGCCACCTGCTGTTTGAGATGCAGAGATCTTGGAGGGGGTCTTAAGCCCTGTTCCAATGCAAGTTGTAGTCATTATTTTCCATGCCGGAGCTCCTCTCTTTTAAAGATCACTCTGTTCCTTCTTGCCTTCATTTAAAGTAAGTTTTTTTCTGTAGAGAGAGCTGCTAGTCCCTGTGGTGTATCATTGTAAGTGCATCTCTATTTAAAGAATACCTATTTATAATGCAGTTGTGGAACTAGAATATAAATGTGCCTCATAAAGGGTTTTTTAAAAGGTGTTTTTTTATCTCAGTTGCTTGAAAAGGAAACTGTTTTTACCACCATCAGCAAACAAGTATGAGGCTTTTTCAACAGGTTTTTACCGATTTACATTTCTAATGTCTGTAAAAAAATACAAAACATTTTTGAAGAGTTTTATATATGTTTCTCAGATTTCTGCAATGATTATTTTTTCCGCTCAGGCTTTCCACTAGGTGCACTATTTATTATTTTAGGTCTTACTTTTGAAGACCACATTTATTACATGTTTATAGTTATGGTTTTTAACTTTTTGAAAAAAAGTCCTGTACATCTAACTCTGTAACAATACAAAAGTTTAAAAGTCACAGAAAACTAGATCATGCAGATGCTTTGATCTTTATGCCATGTTATTTTTCTAGCCTAGCTACCATGGTGAAGTCTTATCCAGATATCTCATGCAGGTGAGAGATTTTGTAAGAACTGCCTTGCTCCAGTAAACTGAGGAGCTTCATCAAGGTTCAGTAGTACAAATCACCTCGGCCCTTTTGTAAACAACGATGACATTTATTGATAAATAAGATTGCTTTTCTGAAATCTGATACAGCATAACAGATGGAGCACATTTACCCACCTAATTAAAATGCAATAACCAGGCCCCATGAACCCTTATTTGTGTGATTTTAGATACCATACTGGGATGGAGTGTTAAAGGCTAATGTGGCACTAACTTTGTCCTGAATTAACTCAATTATAGCAGAAATATCTTGCCTGTTCTTTAGAACGTGGTTTTGTTCTTCTGCTTTTTAAATGACACCGAAAATCATACAGTAATTTGATTGTCAGTTAACTTTTACTTAGGCATAGTGAACGGTTTTGTGTGGATGTGTTTCTAGGCTTAAATCTTAAGCATTGCGTCTACCTGCCAGGTGAGGAAATCAAGACTTCACAAAAGTCCAGTAGGCAGTTGCTTTTTTCTCCTTAGGTTGTTTTAATATTGTGACATTAGCTAAAGCAGTGCTATCTGTTTGAAGCCTTTATCCTTCCCCCTTCAACAGGCTTGGTGCCCAAAAACATCAGACTGAGTCAGATGTAAAGTGTTGGTGTAGAGTTGGAGTTGACAATTCAAAGGGGAGACACTGTGCTTAAGGTTATATTATTGGTTTTACAACTTGTCAGAAAAAGGATTTTCTGAAGCAGTATGATTTTGAAAACCTTGCATCAGTGTCAAATTGGTGGTGACATATATTGATCATGTTGCTGCTTCAAGCATGTTAAGCTCTGTTTTGGAGGTCTTACCTAGTACTCCTCAGAAGGATCCCCTTAACCCTGACCCAGTTGGAAAACTAATTGGATAAACCTGGAACTAATGTGTTTATTTTTTAGTACCCGTGTATTTTAGCAGCACTTTTTTCTGGTATTCATAGCTCGGGTGCTTTGTGTGGATTTAATCTGATGTGCCAACTGAGAAGGGCAGAGAAATTTTATTTTGGCGATTCTATTTCTTGACACGCTGAACAGAAATATAGTGGACAAATTTAGATCGGCAAATTTAATGCATGGAAAATCTATAGACATGAAATACTTCTAAAACTTAAATACTTCTTAAAAGAGATAAAGACAATAAATTGGGCATCTTATTTTAAATTCTGTATTGAGCCACTTTAATTTTAATTGCACACTTATTTTACTTTTGTATTTATATATGTAATGTTTGTAATCAGTGTATGCATCTTTAAGGTACTTTCTTAAACGCAGGCTACACAGGTAACATCTTGTAATTTTATGGCCATGCTCTCACTTTTTTTACATTTTCTAGGCTGTTCTTATATGTAGGTGATAACTGAAAGAAAAGCATTCACACTGTCTGAGGCTTGCATTTAGTGAAGTTCAATGAAGAAGCTCTAAAGAACATCTGGGCATTTTCCGGCATGGAGTGGCCTTGCTTTCCTAAGTGCTCTGAAATGTAAAAGCTTTGAAATTGTTGGATTGGCTTTAGTGTACTGATGAGGAAAAAAAAATAACGGTTCAGGCAAAAGTGCAGCTCATTTTAGCAAAGTGTTGGGGAATTATGTTCATTGCACTTATGAACTGCAGTGAAAGATTCCACACCGCCTACAGAAACATTTCAGTTGTACCCTCTCCCCCCCCCTCTTCCTCCCCTAAAGATATAGAAAGCCACTGAATGTTTCCTGCAATAATATCTGAAACGTTGCAAATACACTTTTTATCTATCAATAAAAATCAAGCTTTGCTTTCCTGCCAGTTGATTGCTTTTAAAAAGCTACACCGAAAAGTCTAATTTAGTGAGCCTGTAGACATAACTTATTCCTCCCCCCCATCTTGTATTTTTCCTTGTATAGCTACATTTGCAGAATGCAACAGTGTGGCTCAGATACACAAGTCAAAATCTGGACGGAGAACAAAAGATGAAAGATGTTCTTTCAAGGTTGCAATTGTAATAACCATCCAGACCCCAAGGTCCATGCATATTAAAAAACTGCCATTACCTTTTTTTTCTGAATTTATCCCTTTTTTCTACATGTTAACTAGACCAGGGGTAACCACCCTTGGTCCCCGTGTGCTAAGGTTTCTATGGGGTTGCATTCCAACCCTGCTCTTATCAAGCTATATCAGCTTATTGCTGGCTTAATTGGATCAATTTAATAGCTTCTCCTAAAGCTCTTCAGGTGCTGCTGTTCAAAGAGACCTAGAAACCCTTTAGACACAACAGCACTCCGAGGACTGAACGGTCCTGCAATAGACAACATGATTTTCATAAAAGCATAGTTCACTCAATATTCACATCAAGCAAAACCTGTAGACACTAAACATAAATATCCTGTTTCAGACATTGTCACTGAGTACAGTGTATAAACCAGGGATGTCACTTGCTGTGGTGGGCCAAATTTGATTTAAATATTTCAAGCAGGCCGTACATACTATAAATTATATAAGTACTATGCACAACCATTACATCGTTTTTTAGTGTTTGGTGTTTTTGATTACTTTGGAATGACATTCCTGCAATAATCCACCCTTTTCTTTGCTAGAACCCCATTTTGCAAAATGTTCTCATTGACCTCTGAGTATGGTATGTCTTTTAAGATGTTTGGCTATGTAAATCACCATTCAGTTGAAAAAGTCAGAATAGTTTGACAGCTGATGTAAATGTGTATCTGTTGCTTAGCTGCAGTGCTGAAACAAGTCAAATGTACTATGGAATTAGTTATGTACATCAGTTGCAATATTTTTGTGAGACTAATAAGCTTAACACTCAATGCGTATGATAAGTGAAAAGCAGTTCCACTTATTTTATTTTTTTAACTCCACAAAAGGTATGATAGGAACGTAGACAAACTCAAAATGACACGCTCTGTTTGTTATCCGTGATGTATAAACAGCAGTAATTGCATTTCTACAGCCATCGTGCTTTGGTAACTGCTGCCTGTTCCATACAGGTTGGATGTCAGCTGAGTACTTTGTTTAAATGCTTCTCCTCTTCCCTTTAAGTACACAATGTTATTTCTTCTAACAGAATTACAAGGCCTTAATATATTTAAAAACATCCTGAGATTGTAACAGAAAACCACTAGGTACAGTTCCCAGGAGCCCAGTGGCGGTTTGTTTGCTGACATTGCTCCAAAATTTAGTGTTATAAGCCTTGCGGTTTGTTTGGTTCCCCCACCATTTTGTGCAGAGTCATTCCCCCGTCAAACCAGATCTGTGATGTCAAATGGAGTTGCTGTGATGAGGTAAAGGCAGAGAACCACAGGGAGCACTGCATATGGGACTGTTGCAGTGACATCATCAAAGACCCCAGTCTGGTGTTGTAGGCTATGCAGGCTCAGATGGGGCACAAAGTGAATCGTGATCGAGGCTCTGGCTGCACCTTGACCAAGGGCTGAACAAATGAGCTCTCCTAATGTAGACATTCTGGCTTCTAGAGGCAGATTCTGACGGAATAAAAACATTACATATGTGCAGTGTTTCTATCACTTACTAATAAGTCCCTTCGCATTTTTGCCCTCATTTCTGAGATGTCTTGTCTAGAATTCCATTCACGTGTAAGAGAAGTGGCCTATGCATTTCCTTTGCCGGTTAATACTGTAGTTCTAATCCAGTCTCCCCGGCATCTGAGTTAATGCTTTTTCTTGTAATTGTAATGTGCAATTGCATCATGCAATTTTGATTTTGGTGTGTAACAGGATGCCATGATTTTTTACTGAATTTAGTGTATGTGTTTTAACGGCCTTGCCATTTTTTGATTATTTATAGCTACGAAATAAGATGTCCCAAGAGCGGGAGCAGTGCTCCTTTACCTTTGTTCACCTTTGTAAATTCTGATTGCTGTTTCCAGTTTGACCGCTGTCTTCTGAAAAACTAACAATCTCTCTGGCTTTCATAGCTTTAATTGTTAAAATCCTGGAGAAGTACATTCATGGATGGTTACGTATTTCCTGCAGAATAAATTTCTATAATGAGGCGACTTCGAAGTTCGAGAATCTCTGTACAGGAAAGAAATTCCATGTCAACCACGCTAGTTTACAGGGAAATGTGTGAGGCACAGGCACTGACTGATGCAACATCTAACTGCTGTCTGAAGATTTTTGACTCCAGCATAGTTGGATGGAACTGCAGAATCATCTTGATTTACTAATATGAATTAAGTTAGTACTGCAGGGGCCACCTACC